GAGTTACATTATATGGATCTCTAAGAGACCATTGTATTGAGGGTCAAGAGAGAGAGAGAGAGAGAGAGAGAGAGAGAGAGAGATGAAGCCATCTAGCTACTAACTACGGACCCGAAGGTCTACAAAGAACTACTCACGCATCATCGGAGAGGCACCAATGGAGGTGGTTAACCTCTCCGTGATGGTGTCTAGATTGGATCTGGTGATTTTGGACTCTGCGGCGGCTGGATAAATATTTCGTCGACTCCCCTAGGGTTTTGGGAATATTTAGGTATTTATAGAGCAAAGAGGCGGTCTGGGGGCACCCGAGGTGGGCACAACCCACTGGGGCGCGTCAGGGTCCTGGCGCGCCCTGGTGGGTTGTGCCCCCCTCGGGGCACCCCCAGGTGCAACCAGAGCCCATCTGCTTCCTTTTGGCCCATAAAAAATCATCGTAAAAATTTGTGCCATTTGGACTCAGTTTGATATTGATTTCCTGCGATGTAAAAAACATGGAAAAAATAAAAACTCACACTGGGTACTATGTCAATAGGTTAGTACCAAAAAATGATGTAAATGACTATAAAATGATTATAAAAACATCCAAGATTGATAATAAAACAACACGGAACAATAAAAAATTATAGATACATTGGAGACGTATCATTATGCGGTTTGACCGATAAAGATCTTCGTAGAATATGTAGGAGCCAACATGAGCATCTAGGTTCCGCTATTGGTTATTGACGGGAGATGTGTCTCGGTCATGTCTGCATAGTTCTCGAACCCGTAGGGTCTGCACGCTTAACGTTCGATGACGATTTGTATTATGAGTTATGTGATTTGATGAACCGAAGTTTGTTTGGAGTCCTGGGTGAGTTCATGGACATGACGAGAAGTCTCAAAATGGTCGAGAGGTAAAGATTTATATATTGAAAGGTTGCATTTGGACATCGAAGTGGTTCCAGAGATTCAGGCATTTTTCCGGAGTACCAGGAGGTTATTGGAACCCCCCGGTAGAAGTTATGGGCCTTATGGGCCATAAGAGGGAAGCACACCTGCGCACAAGGGGCTGGTGAGCCCCCCTAGGGCGGGAGGCCGATTAGGACTAGGAGAAGGGCCCCCCCCTTTCATACTCTGTGTGGGAGGTGGAATCCTACTAGGACTAGGGAGTCCTAGTAGGACTCCACACCTTGGCGCGCCCCCATAGGGCCGACTGCCTCTCCCTCTCCCTCCTTTATATACGTGGCAAGGGGACACCACATAGACACACAAGTTAATCTTTAGCCGTGTGCGGTGCCCCCCTCCACAATTTTACACCTGGGTCATATTGTCGTAGTGCTTAGGCGAAGCCCTGCGCCGGTAACTTCATCATCACCGTCACCACGCCATCATACTGACGAAACTCTCCCTCGGCTTCAACTGGATCAAGAGTTCGAGGGACGTCACCGAGCTGAACGTGTGCAAATTGTGGAGGTGTCGTGCGTTCGGTACTTGATCGGTGCAGATTGTGGATCAACCGCGTTACTAAACGCTTCCGCTTTCGGTTTACGAGGGTACATGGACATATTCTCCTCGCTCGTTGCTATGCTTCTCCTAGATAGATCTTGCGTGATCGTAGGATTTTTTTTTGAAATACTACGTTCCAACAGGGTCTCAGCGGCGTGAAACAGTGAAGTCTCAACGTTGGACGTGGTTTAATGGGCACATGCAAGTTGGTGTCGTTTGTCTGACATCATGGTGACGTCGACGGTAGATGGGCATGACAAGACCTATGGAATGATTCCTTCTGAAGATGGGATGGCGGAAGATGATGGCGGTGGATCCTCGAGTGTGCGCATGCGGTGCGTGTCATGGGAAGCCTAGACCAGTTGGCACTCTTAGCTTGCTAGGCGGGCGGCTTCTTGAGGCCACTGAATTAGATGGTGTCCGTTGATGCGGTTAGGGCACATATTTATATTTTGTAGATGTAGCAACTTTGTTCGCATCGAAGGTGGTTTTTGGATCAATCTTTGTATTTATTTTCTCAGTCTCAGGTGAATAAATTAATAAAGATGGCTGCATGTATGATCTTCATGTAGTGGCCAGGGTAATCTTTCCTTTTCAAAAGAAAAAAAGACCTATATAAAAAGACCCCAATATGGCACGAACGTCATACTTGTTGTCTCCATGGGGCGATCATCCCGTTCGCTACCGGGGGAGGGGAGATCCATTGAACGGATTTGTTCGACGGGAGAACCCCACTCCTGGAACACCCTCCCTCATTGCCCGTACAAGCCTTTTTTTTGTAGAAAATAAAAAGGAAAAGTAAAACCCAGTAGCGAAACAAAATAGAAGTGCTAGTTTTGTTTTTTGTTGTAACTAATAAAGCCTAGTTTTTGTTATGCTATGGAAAATTTTGCCATGCTCGAAAAAATAAAGGAAAAAATACCATGGATTGCTTTAGTAAAATTTGCCATGGTTCAAGAAAATAATAATGACATAGCCCCCCCCCCCCCAAATGCCATCACCTTTAAAAGCAGAAATTTGCCATGGTCATTTTGCTTTGCAATGACTGTAGAGAAAAGGTCATGGAAATTTCCATCTATACATACATGGTGGCAGAAAAGAGTCGATTAAAATTTGTAAGGTATTTTTAGTATATAATATAAATGAAGACACAAGACATGTCTGATTGAAATTTCTAAGGTATTTTTAGTATACCATAAACGAAGGCAAACATATAAAATTGCATTGAGAGCGTGAAATCACACAAATCCGTTGTGCATTCCTGGATTGGGGCATGGCAATTTGAAGACAATAAACTGAAAAATGGAGCAAAAAGGTTGGGCGAGGTGCTATCTGTAGAGAATGGAGCCAACACCGGGGCCTTGTGCAGCGCGTGGTGGTGGTGGTCGAGCTCGAGTTGGGGTTCCGGTCCTCGTCCTCCTCTGACGCAATCTCGTTTTACCCGAACGAGCCTTCGAGAGCTGCTGCAGCCGTGTTCAGGTTGGACCCCGGCGGGAGGTGGATGCGAGCTCTCGTTCGTCACCATCGTGCCAGGGAATGGCAGATGTGTGGCGGTGGTCGTCGCGGACACCTCCTCCCGCGGCTGTGACCTCGCCTCTGCTAGATCGGAGGGACGACCTCGCCACGGATCCCATGGTTGTGGCGCCGACCTTCGGTGGATGCCCCGACCACCTCTTTATCTAGATGGCGGAGATCGCTTGACGCGGCCAGACCATCGCCCCTGTGATGACGGTCATGCACATGAGCACCTCCTTCAACTTGAAAAGTTGGCGCAGATACCCCCGAGTTTCACCCCTAGCACCTTTAACCCGATGAAACAGCGACCACACGCGCGCGCCTCTCTCTCAGCCACTGTCGACACAACACCACGCATTGGGATCTGACGCATGAGTCCTACCACCGCACTCCGTCGTCGAGGGGTTGATGTAGACGACAAACACGCATGAGCACCTCCATGGTTTCCCGATGTGTCGGTGTCAAAACCGGTAGACCTCAGGGTAGGGGGTCCCGAGCTGTGAATCTCGATCGAGGGTAATGGGAACGAAGGAGACGATATTTACCTAGGTTCGGACCCTCTTGATGGAGGTAAAACCCTACGTCCTGCTCTTGTTTATATCAAGGGAGATGTATCAAATACATAGTTGATCTACCTTGAGATCGTGATGTGTGGTCTAATTCTAGGACTAGGTGAATGATTTTGCGTTGATATCCCATCCATGGGCTAAACCATATGGCTTATATACACGCCAGGGAGGGTATTTAGGGTTAGAAGGTCGGTAGCTATGAGCTAGGCGGCGGCAGAGATCCTGGAGTATACGTCAAGTCTTCGGGGAGGTAGTCTTGAACAAGCCTCCTACGTACGATTTTCCGGTGTCCATCTTGATCACGAATGGTGGCTTGCCGGCCCAACTCGAGGAGAACGGGTCGGCTGAGTTAGTCTCCCCTTATCCAGGACACCGTCACAATGGGTACAGGTACCCGCGTGCCTTGCCTCCAGCAACTCCGAGGTTGGACGCCGACGCACCCTCGTCGTGGGAATTGTTGGAACATGAGCCGTCGCCGTGGGTGGGAAGAGTGGAGCAGGGGAGAGAGGAGAACTCGGAGTAGGAAGTGGGATGACGCCGCCCGAGAAAATGGTTTGCTCCCGCCTCAACTCCAAGCGAATGGACCGCGACCAGTGACGTGGCGAGGAGGCTTGCTTTAGGATTCGTGTGGCTAATCAGGCGGCTATGGAGATGCTCCTGCCGAACCCCTAATAAAAATCTGAGCCTTTTTTGTAAGTTTTTTTGGGGCTAGTGGATAGATTTAAGTTTTAGGAAGGGTCACTTGGTACAAACAATACATCGCCGGAGAAGAAGCCGGAAGCTTCTCGAGTCTGCTTCGTGGGAGGTTCACTTTTCTCAGATCTGAAACTGAACCATCACATCCACGTACACAAACAGATATTTCGGGCCGGTCTGAAGTTCTGAACCGTCCGATGACGATCCAACGTCTCCGGGGCGCGCAGAATAGTCCGGCCTAGATCGTGACACCCACCGCCGACCGAAGACGCTTTCCCACTAGAGACACACACGGGTTCCCAACGGACACGCCCCCCTGCCCTCCGGCGACACGCGAGAATCTGCAAAACAATCCAACGACTCCCCCACTTCCACCCCGTGACACCGCAGCACGGCCCCACACAAAACCTTCAAAACCGCAGGGCCCATCCGCAGCGACAGAGGCTACGAAACCATCTCGTCCGAGGGTCAGAGTCCAAGTAGCACCGCATTTATCGCGCTGAACTCTGCCAGCTGGGTCCCACGGGAGAGTTCCTGGGCTGTGTATGGGCCACGCCTCCGCCGGTTCAGACAGCCGCTCCTCCCCCGCCACTGTATAAATAGCGGCCCCGCTCCTCGCTGCCTCCTCCTCTCCCGAGTCCGCAGCAGCCGCCGCCAGCAGCTGCGCAAAGGCTCCTCAAACCCTAACCCTAGTCCTAGCTTAGCTTCCTTCTTCTCGATCTAGCTAGAGCCATGGCGCCGACCAAGGGCGAGGGGCCGGCCATCGGCATCGACCTCGGCACCACCTACTCGTGCGTCGGCGTGTGGCAGCACGACCGCGTCGAGATCATCGCCAACGACCAGGGCAACCGCACCACGCCCTCGTACGTCGCCTTCACCGACTCGGAGCGTCTCATCGGCGATGCCGCCAAGAACCAGGTCGCCATGAACCCCATCAACACCGTCTTCGGTGAGCACACCCCCTCCCTCTCTTTCCCTCCCACCAGATCTGTTTTTTCTCTGTATGTGTGGTCGCTGCTAGATGCGCGCGTCGTTGACCCGTCGCTTGGAGCAGCGAAATATGTCGAGGTTTTAGCCGTTGACCCGTCGCTTGGTGCGAGCTCTTCTGCTTCGGCAGATCTGCCGAGTATGTGTGAGCAGTTACGATGAGGTTTCGGTCGTATTCCTGCTAGATTTGGTACGCTGGAGGCGGGCCATGGTCTGTTCATAGTGTTTTTTTGTGGGTATAGGCTGCATCTTTTGGCCTTTAGGTGACTGCTCAGATCTGTGATGTGTCTGCCATGTATAATTGTATATGTCTGCTAGCTTTCTTGGATCTACTTTTGGAGCTTGTGCCCAGCTGTTCCTCTTATTGTGGTTGTTTCATGGTCCTCAGCTGTGCTCTATTTAGATGCATATAGCTGCATGATCCTTACTTCTAACTTTTGTTATATATTGTGGACTAAATATCCTCTACTAAGAACTTTTTTGATGGAACTAAATATCTACAGAACTGCTGTACACTAAAGTGTGTGCTAGCAGTTTTTAACTACGGTAGTTGTCATCATTTCATTGCCAACTGTTCTCATCATAATGTTAATTAATGAGCATACTATTTTGTGCTATGTTTTCATTTCAAAATTGCACAAAGAGCATGTCTGCTAGCTTTCTGGGATCTACTTTCGAATCTTGGATCAAGTTGTTCCTTTAATTATGATTTTCCATGGTCCTCAGCTGTGGTCCATTTAGATCCTTATATAGCTGTTGGATCATTATTTTGGCTTGATACTATATATTTGTTGTCATACATGAATTATTAGACAAATCACACTTAAATTGTTATCTTATGGCTGGCAAATAAATTGATTATGTCTATTCCTTCTCTTAATTGTTAGTGAAATTTGGACGGAACCAATTACCTGTAGTTCTACACTTCAGTGCATGCCAGCAGTTTTGTACCATAGTAATTTTCATGTTTACTCTGTTAGAGTCAACGAGGATGGCATAATATTGATAGGTTCTCTCAGCATATATGAAACTATATCTTATTTCTAAAAATCCAAGTTAAAGTTGTGCTTTTTTATTGAACAAATTGCTGTTTCTTTCTTGGTTAAACGTACCATTTGCCCTATTTGGTTAGCCGTTAAGAATTTAGTTAGCCTGTTGTGTGGACTTCATTTTGGCAGCTACATGCACCACTAATAACCATTTAGAAATAATGTTTTGTGTAAACCTGTGCCGAAGTTTCCGAGTCTTGTGTGTTTTGCTATTTGTATTGGATCACAACTTCGCATAAACATCTAGTAATTAGTTTACTTGTATAGGTCCTGAATCCTGTAAATTGTGAATGAAGTTCCACCCCACCCAAGATATGCGCTAGATTATGTCCCTTTTAAGTGGTTTTACACATGGAATATGTGCACTACTGCTTATAGCTGCCATATATACCTAGTGTTTAATTACCCATGTTTTTTATAACTTTTTGATTGCCATATTACCCGATGCAAGTATGTGCAAGTTATGTGTAGTCACTGGATTGCATGTGGCTGTGTACATGCTTCCACTTAAGAACCAATTAGAAATAGAAAGTTCAAAAAGGTTCACATAGCTTCTTGAACCTTGGGGAAAAGCCGCATAACACCATTAACTTGAAAACCATGTATTTCCTATCCCAAAACTGCTCCTAGCACAAGGGGTAAAAGATGGTTTTTAGTTGTGTGGTCATGCGGATTTTTCACCAAGATTCAAGTGGTTATCTGGATCTTTTGACTTTGAAATCTATACGTGCTAGTGCACATTGGATGTAAGTGTGTCCCTGGTGCATGTGCTCACTGAAGTGCATATGAACCATGTGCATGCTTTCAATTACTTTTCCAGTATTGCGATTTATTCAAGGTCAAATAAACTTGTATATAGAATATGAAGTTTTAGGAAGGTACACATGACCTCTTCAATCTTGGGGAAAAGCTGCATAGAATCATTTAATTTGGAATCACATTTTTAATCCCAAAGTTGCTTTACACATGTTCATCCAAGTATTTTGGGAAGAACTTTGAATTATATATGTACATATGGGCTGCAAGAATGTGTGAGACTTATGTGGTCACTGAATTGCATATGGACCTTGTGTATGCTTCCAGTTACTTCTGCAATAGTTCGTGACTTATTCAAGCTAGAATAAAAACATGCAGGAATATGATTAAGGGATAGATTATTTGGTTTCAAGTTTATGAATTTAAGCGATACTTCCATCAAAGCTCACTGTTTGTCTAGACATGTTCATAAGAACTTCAAAATAAAATACACATGCTTGAAATCCTCTGGTGTGGTCACACTAATTAATCCTCTGTTGATAAATACATGCAACTTATTGGGTTAATGCCTTAGTATTTTTTACTGATCGAACTTACAGATAATTCTTCTAACAGTCAGTTTGTTTATGAAACTCTGCAGATGCGAAGCGTCTTATCGGCAGAAGGTTTGCTGATGCCCCTGTCCAGAGTGACATTAAGATGTGGCCGTACAAGGTTATTCCTGGCCCTGCAGACAAGCCTATGATTGTAGTGCAGTACAAGGGTGAGGACAAGCAGTTTTCAGCTGAAGAAATTTCTTCCATGGTCCTCATCAAGATGCGTGAGATCGCTGAGGCTTACCTAGGAGTAACTATTAAGAATGCCGTTGTCACTGTGCCTGCTTACTTCAATGATTCCCAGAGGCAGGCAACCAAGGATGCTGGTGTTATTGCTGGTCTTAATGTGATGCGTATCATCAACGAGCCAACAGCAGCTGCAATTGCCTATGGTCTTGACAAGAAGGCTACCAGTGTCGGTGAGAAGAACGTGCTTATCTTTGACCTCGGTGGTGGCACTTTTGATGTCTCTCTCCTTACCATTGAGGAGGGTATTTTTGAGGTCAAGGCCACAGCTGGTGACACTCACCTTGGTGGGGAGGACTTTGACAACCGTATGGTGAACCACTTTGTCCAAGAGTTCAAGAGGAAGCACAAGAAGGATATCAGTGGAAACCCCAGGTCTTTGAGGAGGCTCAGGACTTCATGTGAGAGGGCGAAGAGGACCCTTTCTTCCACTGCCCAAACCACCATCGAGATTGATTCACTCTTCGAGGGAGTTGATTTCTATTCCACCATCACCAGGGCCAGGTTTGAGGAGCTCAACATGGACCTCTTCAGGAAGTGCATGGAGCCAGTGGAGAAGTGCCTGAGGGATGCCAAGATGGACAAGAGCACCATCCATGATGTCGTGCTTGTTGGTGGTTCCACCAGAATCCCCAGAGTTCAGCAGCTGTTGCAGGACTTCTTCAACGGGAAGGAGCTCTGCAAGAGCATCAACCCTGATGAAGCCGTTGCCTACGGTGCTGCCGTCCAGGCTGCAATCCTCAGTGGTGAGGGGAACGAGAAGGTGCAGGACCTTCTCCTCCTTGATGTCACCCCACTGTCTCTTGGTCTTGAGACTGCTGGAGGAGTCATGACTGTGCTCATCACCCGGAACACCACCATCCCCACCAAGAAGGAGCAGGTCTTCTCCACCTACTCCGACAACCAGCCTGGTGTGCTCATCCAGGTTTTTGAGGGTGAGAGGACAAGGACCAGGGACAACAACCTGCTTGGCAAGTTTGAGCTCTCCGGCATCCCGCCTGCACCCAGGGGTGTTCCCCAGATCACTGTCTGCTTCGACATTGATGCCAACGGTATCCTGAATGTCTCTGCCGAGGACAAGACCACTGGCCAGAAGAACAAGATCACTATCACCAACGACAAGGGCAGGCTGAGCAAGGACGACATTGAGAAGATGGTCCAGGATGCAGAGAAGTACAAGTCTGAGGATGAGGAGCACAAGAAGAAGGTTGATGCCAAGAACTCCCTGGAGAACTACGCCTACAACATGAGGAACACCATCCAGGACGAGAAGATTGCCTCCAAGCTGCCTGCTGACGACAAGAAGAAGATTGAGGATGCTGTCGACGCCGCGATCCAGTGGCTTGACGCCAACCAGCTTGGTGAGGTTGACGAGTTTGAGGACAAGATGAAGGAGCTGGAGGGCCTCTGCAACCCCATCATCGCCAAGATGTACCAGGGTGCCGGTGCTGACATGCCCGGAGGCATGGACGAGGACGCGCCGGCTGCCAGCGGCGGTGCTGGCCCCAAGATCGAGGAGGTCGACTAAGTTATTCTCTTTGATATAGTGAGAAAATACACTATACGCCATTTGTTTCAGTCCTGGGTGCCAATCATATCACCTGGGCTGGAAGTTTTGTTGTACTTTTGGTCTGTAGCATCACGAGACTTGTGTGTACCGTAAACAATGCAATGATGCATGTTTTGGCTCATTGTTGATTTCAGCTTAATGCTTATTGTTTGGACTACCTACCCGTGTGATTTCATTCTGAATTCTTACAGCTTAAATTTGGTTGCTGTCTCTGAATTCGAGTTCAGAGTTAAGTTGCAGCATGCCATTCTCTTTAGGGTATGCTAAGTGTGTATCCTTTTCTGCCGCACTCCAGTCTTCAGAGCTCAGAGGCTATGACTTGTAGAAATTCTTTCCTGAGCTCAACCTAAAATGGAGGGGTTGGGGCTATGACTCCAGGCTCAAACTCTTGTGGTAGACTGCCCCCTAGGGGAGCGCTTGGCAAAAAGTCTGTTTGTCATCCCAGTATATCCTGTTGCAAATAGTGATATCATGAAATATAAGCCTTTTTTAGAGATTCCAATATGGACTACGGAGCAAAATAAGGAAATCTATATTTTAAAATATATCCATGTACATCTGTATGTGTTCATTTCATATTGAAATCTCTGTCAACAAAGAATTTTATTAGTAGTATTTAGTTAGGTTCTCATGTCTGCAAAAGGACTTATATTTAGAAACGGAGGGAGTAGTTTTTCGTGATAAGAGGAGTACTTTGTAATTTTCTAGATCACTGATCCGAATAGCTATAATGTTTGTTTGAAAGTTTCATGTTATTTTTTAGAAGAACAAAAATTCTTGCAGCAAGGCCGGAATTGCGCCAGATCTGGCAGTGGAGAAACGCCGCGGGAGTCAGGCGACGGCCTGGACGCCGCTGCTCTGGTGGTGGGGGATTTGGGGGCTCCTTACCTTGAGGGGAAATTAGAGGGCGGTGGGCTGGGGAAGAAGAGGATTTGGGGACAGGAAAAGGCAAGGGAAGAAGATCACCAGCGGCTCAGTTTATTAGGAATGGTGTGGATTGGGTTCGTGGCTGCCATTTAGTTAGTGCTATACTGCTATACATCTGCTGCCATGAAATACATTTGCTGCTATTGGTGAGGGAGAGAAAGAAAAGGTGCTCTGTAGATTTATTCAGAGCCTTGATACTCTGCTGCTACAACAAATATGTTGGATGCTAGCTGGGACTTGTGAATTTTGTTAGATATTGTTGCTGCTAGTTAGGCCATACGAGGTACTGCTCTATGAAATTTCTACCAATTTTTTGCAGATGGAAGAAGACGAGAGTTTTCTTCACTTGTTGAGCATCAGTGTCTGTATACAGATAGATCGTTTGAATTATTACGATAGAAAAGTACTTGTAGGATTAACCACTGCAACTATAAATTGTTTGAATTACTGTTGAGATGGTAGTTACTATAAGATAATAATACTTAAATATAGAGTAGATAATTTGTTAGACAATCTGCTTGGAGAGAAAGGACCAAGTCAGACCTTCTCTGGCTAAAATATGGAGTGGACAAAGATTATTGGGACTACATTACTCTATTAGCTACTCCCTCCGTTCCTAAATATTTGTCTTTTTAGAAATTTTAAAGAACTACCACATACGGATGTATATAGGCATATTTTAAAGTGTAGATTCACTCATTTTGCTCCGTATGTAGTCACTTGTTGAAACCTCTCGAAAGACAAATATTTAAAAACAGTGTATATCATGTAAGATTGCTTTTGGCTTAATAAAACACAGTAGGAGCCTCTTCTACTGTTTTCCCGGTCAAAAGAGGAAAATAAAGATAATCTGCTGCAAAACTGAACGTGTATATGGGAGAATCTTTATAGACCATCGTCTACATGAATATATAGACATCCAAAAGTGATATACATCTCAAACCGACGCATCATCATCTGTGATCTGATCATGTAGAGTAGAGTAGAGGGGTGGCAAAGCAGAGCGCCAGGAACGAATCTCCCCGCTCACATCCTTCCTGCGGTGTCGCTCCCATAATCTCATCTCCTGCCCTCAGTATGATATGAGCTCCGACGAGGGAGGGACATGTCGGTCCGCCTGAGCGCCTTTTAAATCCGCCGCGTCCCTCTCTTTGGCTTTAATCAGGGGCTGATCCCCCCGATGAGTCATGTAGGCAATAATTCTGCAGGGCCAAAGCGGCGGCAGGCATCCACACCGCACCGCACTGCCTGGCCCTACCCTACGTACATACTCCAGCACACCGACGTACTACGATGTACCCTACACTACACAGTACACACACCCTAAAGACGGAGATCCCCCATGATCATCATCATTAGTGCTGCCATGATCCTCTTTAATCTGCCGTACGCACCAGATATAATACTGTCTCCCTCCCAGTCCCAGTCCAAGCACTCGTTCTGCTGAAACAAGTAAAGCGCGCGGGCGAGCGTTCATCGCCTTTTCACCGGCGGTTGTGAAACGCGTTCTGACAGCGCCTGCTTTGGTTAACCCACTCGTATTGCGGGCGGCGAGGTACAGCCACTGATCGCCTGAGTTGAGTAGGGTCGGCGCTGGCCTCTGTGTGTGTTGTGGGCTTTTCACCGACGGCACACCGGCCATGGGCGAGCTTTCCTGTCATTCTGGTGGCCCATGCACGCATATAAAATACATCCACCAACGAACGGGCCCCGGGTGGCCAAAAAAACCTTCAGGTGTGTTCACATCTTCCATGTTTCGCATTGCGGTCAAGTCAATTTCCCTCTCTGTTCTGACGAAATTTTCTCCATTTCTACACCTTCCTTCTCAGGGCAAAATATAAAATGGAGTAAGTTTTTCAGTCCTTCACCACAAATCCTGTGCAGTGCAGCCCAGATCCTCCGAATACATGTCAGCTTGTTCGACCAATGTCTTGCAGGCTTGGCCAGGCTACCTGTCACTGACCGTTGCAGCATACATTATACCTCACCTTTCAATATTTTACTGCTCCCCGATTTTAAAAATTTCCCCTCGAATGGGAGAAGATGTATAAGGTTGATTAGGCTTGGGAGATTCCTTCCTGGATTAGAGATGAACAGAGTAGCACTTCAGGGAACAAACAAGTAAAGCTGAGCAGAATCCTAACTGCTAAAGCTACGCTCCACAAAGCGGAATGATGAAGTTTCATATACAACTCGGTCCAGCAGTGATGCATCACCTGTCCTGTATAGCGGCCGCTGAACTTGCGAGCCCACAGTTTCTTGTTTTTGTATTTTTGGACATGAGCCAACAGAATTCGAAACACACACTATACTAAATGAACCGGATCACGCAGTGGCACCATATGTCATATGCGTAGCTGCAGTAGCACTAAATATTTAAAAATATCAAATTCGTCACAAGAAATTAAGGAGACACAGAACAAGGTAGAGAGTTGGCACTGTTTTAAATTTGGACCCCAATATGGGGCGAAAGTCGGATCTGGGAGGAAGGTGAAATCGAACTATTCGTTCAATCTACTCAGGGGGCCCGAGTGAACGATTTAGTTCGCTATATTTTTTTTGAGCGGTATTTAGTTCGCTATATGCTACGACGAGAACACCTCCGATGCTGGACCCCTCTAGTGAGCCGCGAGTGGTCAAAGCCCCAAAACACCATTTCCTTGAGAGAGAAAAAAATGTTGGTTAAACTGCACACAGTGAAATTTCTTTAATTTACCTATGTTGTGCTCTGGGACAAACAACACAAAATTAAAAAAAAATTCCATTGATTAAAAAATGCAGGAGAAAATGTTTGTTCGAAAATAACTCCATTGATGTTGGGAAAAATAATAAAATTGCCATGCCACAAAAAAGTAATTTACTGAAAAATGAATTTACCATGGTATGATGAAAATGAAAAATCAGGAGCATATTAACATAGAAAAGCCTAAGCATGAGCTAACCCTAAAGCCTAAGCATATTAATATAAGTATGAGCTAACCAGCTAACCCTACAAGAATCCATTAGTGGGAACATCAGTAACATAGAAAAGCCCAAACTTGCTCTATTAGTACAAGGAATCGAGCTCACCATCGTGGCCGCCGGCACAATCGAAGAACAACACAGAACATGTCGGGCATGCGACCACACATGGATCACGGGAGACTCAACGTCCCACGACAGGGCATGTTGTACAACAACAAGAACGGGCGGACGGAGGTGACGTTGCGTGACCGTTGAGGCATGGGACTGCGAGGAGAGTAAAGTGGGAGTGGCCTCGTCGAGAGGTCATAACCCACAAGTACAGGGGACCACGACAGTCTTCGATGGTAATATTTTACCCAAATTTGTTGATTCGACACAAGGAGAGCCAAAGAATATTTACGAGCCTTAGCAGTTGAGTTGTCAATTCAACCACACCTGGGAAATAATATTGTTGCAACAAAGTGTTTAGTAGCCCAATAGTTTTATAGTTTTGATAGTAGCAGTACAGTAGCAATACTAACATGAATAGTAACAGAAGCAGTTTGTGATGATTGTAACAGTAGCAACAATAGTAACTTAGCAAAGATCAATATGAGAAAATCGTAGGCATTGGATTAACGATGGATATTTGTGTTGCATAATATTCATCATATAACAGTCACAACCTAGAGCGATATACAATAGCTCCAATTCATCAATTCAATGTAGGCATGCATTCCATATATAGTCATACATGCTTATAATAAGAACTTGCATGACATCTTTGTCTTACCCTCTCGTGGCAGCTGTTGGAAATATGCCCTAGAGGCAATAATAAATTAGTTATTATTATATTTCCTTATTCATGATAATCGTTTATTATCCATGCTAAATTGTATTGATAGGAAACTCAGATACACGTGTGGATACATAGACAACACCATGTCCCTAGTAAGCCTCTAGTTGACTAGCTCGTTGATCAATAGATGGTTACGGATTCCTGACCATGGACATTGGATGTCGTTGATAACGGGATCACATCACTAGGAGAATGATGTGATGGACAAGACCCAATCCTAAGCCTAGCACAAGATCATGTAGTTCGTATGCTAAAGCTTTTCTAATGTCAAGTATCATTTCCTTAGACCATGAGATTGTGTAACTCCCGGATACCGTAGGAGTGCTTTGGGTGTGCCAAACGTCACAACGTAACTGGGTGGCTATAAAGGTACACTACAGGTATCTCCGAAAGTGTCTGTTGGGTTGGCACGAATCGAGACTGGGATTTGTCACTCCGTGTAAACGGAGAGGTATCTCTGGGCCCACTCGGTAGGACATCATCATAATGTGCACAATGTGATCAAGGAGTTGATCACGGGATGATGTGTTACGGAACGAGTAAAGAGACTTGCCGGTAACGAGATTGAACAAGGTATCGGGATGCCGACGATCGAATCTCGGGCAAGTATCGTACCGCTAGACAAAGGGAATTGTATACGGGATTGATTAAGTCCTTGACATCGTGGTTCATCCGATGAGATCATCGTGGAACATGTGGGAGCCAACATAGGTATCCAGATCCCGCTGTTGGTTATTGACTAGAGAGTCATCTCGGTCATGTCTGCATGTCTCCCGAACCCGTAGGGTCTACACACTTAAGGTTCGGCGACGCTAGGGTTATAGAGATATTAGTATGCGGTAACCCGAAAGTTGTTCGGAGTCCCGGATGAGATCCCAGACGTCACGAGGAGTTCCAGAATGGTCCGGAGGTAAAGAATTATATATAGGAAGTGCTATTTCGGCCATCGGGACAAGTTTCGGGGTCACCGATATTGTACCGGGACCACCGGAAGGGTCCTGGGGGTCCACCGGGTGGGGCCACCTGCCCCGGGGGGCCACATGGGCTGTAGGGGGTGCGCCTTGGCCTATATGGGCCAAGGGCTCCAGCCCCAAGAGGCCCATGCACCAAGAGAAGAGGGAAAGGAAGAGTCCTAAAGGGGGAAGGCACCTCCGAGGTGCCTTGGGAGGAAGGACTCCTCCCTTGGCCGCACCCTTCCTTGGAGGAAGGGCCAAGGCTGCGCCCCCCTCTCCCTTGGCCCTATACATAGTGGGGGGAAGGGAGGGCAACCATACCTAAGCCCTGGCGCCTC